CCATACAGTGTATGAACACAAGACTCTCAAATCTGGTGCCCAGTTCCTGAGTGAGTGAGTCATGCCAGTCCTGGTATCAGCTTGGCAGCCTTTCTGTGAGAGTTCAGGCATTGTGCTGCAGCTTGCCTGTCTGCATATTGTCTCATTTATACTAAATGTGAACTTTATCTGTCTGTTAGGTAACCTAAAACTATTGCAACCCTGACATTTTAGTTCTTGTTCAGTTTCAAGCAGTCTTTCATTTGCACTCACTGTTGTCTCTGTGGGTAGTTTCTGAAAAGCACAATCTCGTAACACCTGTTTGCTCCTTGTGGTTTTCCTGTACTTCAGCCCTTTGCTGCATGCTGAACCTTTATCTGTGATTACTGTCTGTTTGTGAAAGTAGTTTTCTTTAAAGCATACTTTAAAAGGACAAGGTGAAGATTCTTGACAAGTTCAAAGAAACTTACTAAATCCAACCAGTTAATCTTAAAAGTAAGAAGAAATTCTGCTAAAGCAGAATGTACCTTTTCTTCCTTCAACGTGATTGAAGGAAGTCACCAGCTTCTGATGGCTCCAAGGTTGTGGATTTCTACAAGTCATTAAAAGCAAATGTTTTAATAAAAATGTATTTAAAGTGTATAAATTGATGTGTAAAATATGTTTTTCTCCATTTCCTCTTTGCTTTCAATGCATTTAATTTCTTGCTAATTCAAGAGCTTATCAGTTTGGGAGTGAGGAACAGTCTTCAGGGGGTCCAGACGGGTGCCTTTCTTAAATACAGAGATGAAAAGACAGACATAGCTTGCCTGAAATCAGACAGATGAAAGATTCCAGAAAAAAACTGGTCCTTTTGTGGCAGAGGTGGAGAATTACTACAGCATGCATTTTTTTAAAGTGCCAATAAAAAGCAATTTGATGGAGTGTGTTTTTCTAAAATTAGTGAAAGAACAGATGCCATAGAGAAAATCTTGAAAACCTAAACGTCAAAGTAGGAGTTGTAATTTCCTTGCAAATTTTGGCTAAGTTTAACATTCATGTCTCGCTTACATATAGATACTGCTCAAAATCTCTGTGATTTCTGAATGTGGATAAATGTTTCCTCAGATCTGAACTCCTTTGAAGAAAGCAAACTTATTTTTGTCCTTTTCAACTCTCATGTTGAATGAAGCACCAATGATAAAATTAAAGAGTTAAATTGTATATAATTTCATTTTATATCTGGAAAGGAAAGGGTTTATGATGGGTTTTTACTGTTGAGACAAAAATATTTCTTTCTTTCAAAAAGAATACCTGTAAAAACTTGATTGTACTTTTTTTAGCAGATTATATCCAAAGACACTGAAATCCTTCCCCAAGAACTTATCTACAGTGGTTTTTCATACCTCAAGAATTACCTGAGAATGTTCTTAGTTCATCTTTTAGCAATTCATCCATGTGGAAAATATCCACAAAAGCACATATTTCTATAGAAAAAACCCCAACCTGTGTAAAAACCAACCTGTTTAATCTCTGTAAAATTCACAGACCAGCCTCTATGCTAGAATTGACATCAGAAAATTCAGAAAATTCTTTATGCAAGATGGAATATTTGACTTGTTTCATTTTAAACTCCTTTTAAGACAGTAGTAGCTTTGAGTCATTACTGCTGTTGCTTAGATTGTTGTTTAAATTATTCACATGGTCAAAATATTTTCCACTGTCCAATTTGAAAAAAAAATCAAGTCTTGTTATAACATCACATTAAAGTTACACAGAAGTGAGTTAAGGGGATTTTTTTGGTCTTTTTTACATAATCACTTTTTCCTTTGCAAGACAGGAGTCTGATTATTGCCCTAACCTTTAGAGGAATTGATACAGTGAATATTAGCTGTGGTGGTCCTAACCTGAGTACTGGAACTGTTACAGTCTGCCTTAGAAATATTGCTTATGGTAAATAAAAGGTACTTCAGGTGAGTACAGAGAAAGATATAAAAAATAATCAAAGGTAAATAACTAATGACTATTAAAAAATCTTGATTTTTTTTTCTCCAACATCTTTGAGACAATGAAATTAAAGTGTTTTGGCTACCTATTTGTTTATTAAAAGGTTTTTCAGAATAGGAGTATGAAGGATAGTAATTGGGAACAAGTTCCCTGGATGTCCTCTGTTGTTTGTATCTCTTTTTGATTGGATCAGGAAGAAAAGGATAAATACTGTTACTATGACAACTGTGTTCTGAGTATCAAGACAGCTTGTCTAAATGTGATTTCATCATGTTATAACCTATTTTTTAGGATGAAAAGCACATCTTGGAGTGTTTTTTCTCCTGTCCACTTTCTAGACAAAAAGAGTATTTTCCATTCCAACTTTAAAAAAAAAAATAAAAAAAATTGTTATACTTCAAGGAACTACGTAGTTTATCTTGGAACAAAATTGACCTGTTCCTGGAAAACCAAAAAAAGAAAGTTGATCCTTGATTCTGCTTTTCTAGTTCAAGCTTCAGTACACCTGACACCTATAAGAATATTTGAGATGATGTAATATTTAATGTTATTAATAAAGTTCAGTCCATATTGGAGAGGAAGACTCTTATGAACTGATTTACAGGATTTGAGATGAGTTCTATGAACATCTTCATCTCTGGGTCTCCCAGGACACATAGCAGATGATAAGATCAACTGTGGTTTGAGATATCCCGGCTCAGCCATTATTACCCAGTCTCAGGTGTGACAGCCTCATTGGAAACCTTCACTGGTTCTACAAACAGCAGCAAGAAGCCCATTCCTGCACCAATTTCAAGGGAGTTTTATGTCCATTTGTAAGCAGATCCAGAGCCAGATGGTCTCCTCTCAAAGGCTCTTGTGAGGTTGTAGTCAGTCTGTAATAGGAAAGTTGATAACAAGACAAACTCTGCCAGCTGTTCAGCATATGCATTATACTGTAGGAAAACAATAAATATTGGGGCAGTTACCCTAGCTGCAGTTACCCTAGCTACATTCACTCATTATGCATAGTGAATGTAATTCCTAATACCCCCATATTTTAATTTAGCCAGTTTGGAACAATACTGTCCATTCTACTGTTTTCTCATTGTCATTACTGGCCCATGTAAACTTGCACATGTAAACATGCATTCTTCTATATATATTTTTTTTCCTTTTTTTTTTCTTTTTTTTTTTTTCTTCAGATCATGATCTGCACCATGTGGAAAGCACCACAGGTTCCAAACACCACTATGGTATTACTTTAGCAATCAGAAGATGTTAAAATTTTAATGTAACAGAGCTCAGCATGCTTAGGGAGGAGGCAAAACCACACAGGGTGCCCTAGTGCATTTTCTGTTTGTCTTCAGTTCTTAACTGGGAACCACATGGCATTTTGACTACCCTAAATACCAGGAAAAATGGTTCTCTTAGTGGCACATGTGACAGTAAAATGCAATATACTGTAAGCATCAACCAAAGCTCTACTGCAGACCTCAATAAATAACACCACTAGCTAAGTAAGATTTATTTCAGCACAAAAATTTGTCAATCAAAACCTTCATTTAAACGAGATGCACTTTGTTTCTTCAGAGGAAACTGTTTCTTGTGAATTTTGACTGCCAATGAAAACCTGACTTTAACACACATGGGTGTCAAAGGAAGCAGTAGGAACCTGGAGTTGTCTCTGCCGCTTTTTAAGTTAATCGGACCATGGGAATTAATCCCCACATTTTGTTTAAATGCAGGAAAGATAAAAAGGGATGGGATTAGGAAGGCAATCGCGCTCCCCTTATTAATAATGAATTCCCTATTAACAGCGAGTGTTCACGTAAAAACAGTGACAACAGTAACAATTTGAAGTTTTACCGGGTTTATTGAAAAGCGACTCAATTATCCTTGTGTGCGAGCATCACACAATGAGTGCAGAAGCCCAGCCTTGGCAGAGAGAGAGCACCAATAATTCCCAGCACGGGCACTGCTCGGACCAGGACGGGGAGGGCAGAGCTGCAGCAGGGCACAGGGGGAGCTCGGTCACGTCCGGACCCCCGCGAACGGAGCGGGAGCGGAGCGGGAACAGAGGGGAACCAGAGGGGAACCGGAGCGGGACCGGAGCGGGACCGGCCGCGCCGCCCACGGGCCCGCTCCGGGACAGCCGCAGCTATCGCGAGACTTCGCGGCCTGGTCGTCACGGCAACGGCGGCGGCGCCCGCGCTGCTGCCGTCCCGCGGTGAGGACGGGGCTCCTGCCTCGCTGCCTTCCTGCTTGCCTTCCTCTCTGCTTTCTTTCCTCCCTCCCTCGCGCCAGCCTCGCTGCCTTCCTCTCTGCTGTCCTGCCTCCCTGCCTCTCTCCCTCCCTCCCTGCCTGCCTGCCTACTTTCCTCCCTCCCTCCCTGCCTGCCTCCTTCTCTCCCTGCCTGCCTCCTTCTCTCCCTGCCTGCCTCCTTCTCTCCCTGCCTGCCTCCTTGCCTCCCTCCCTGCCTCCTTCTCTCCCTTCCTCCCTCCTTCTCTCCCTGCCTCCCTTATACTGAAATAAAGACTTGTATTCATTTGAGCCCTCTCAGAATTTCCAGCACGTGTCACGATGCGCTGAGATGTCGAATTCCTGTGAATTCACAGTTTTGTTGTTTCAGAAAAAACGTGTGCGTCTGTAGTTTAAACTACAGCCATGATAATTCCTCTGTTGTGAGATTATTTGTAAGATGTATGCTATTTAAAGTGTCTTTGATAATAAGCACGTTTGAATACTTCGATTGGCTTGATATAAATATATATTTGTATGTATATTAAAAAGAAAAGCACGTACTTGAGTGGCAAGCCAGTCTGAACTGAAAAACCTTGCAATATGGAGTTGCTAGAAAACATTTGAAACTTACATGTATATCTGAAATATTGCAGGGCTTCTATTGCTTTATTATGAAACTGTTCATTTGAAAGGTTGTTTTTGCTGGATTTTCCCCCAATTTTAGGTAACAGTGGATATTACAAGTAGGAGCTTGGATGAAATTTCAAGGCCTACATCTAGCTCGACCTAATTGTAGATCTTTAAATACATCTATGGAGTTAACAACGCCAGAACCATGTTTGCAAGAGGTAATTTTTCTCTCCTTCAGCAGGTTAAAACCTCCATGCCTAATTCTTTGTAGTAGAATGCTAAAGAAGTAGTATTCTGCTTTTTTAGTACCCTAGCCTGACAACCCCAAATCTGACAGTCTGTGGAATGATGAGCTGGAGAATCAATGTGAAATCTAAGTAAAAGAGCTCTTTCCTAGCATCAGCATCAGACCTGAAAATGGTTCTGTTATTTAAGAAGTACTCTGCAGTGTTGTACAGAATTGTTGTTGTTCTTTGTGATAGCACGTGAGTATTGTGCTTATCTTCTTCACCCAAAACATCCCTGTTTTCATGGTGGCTATAATTTGCATTTCATAGGTAGATTCACCCATCAATTTGGCTGATGGTTACCAGAGTGGCAGTCTAGAAGATGGCTGTCCAGCAGAAAACAAAGGTGATGACAGAGATAAATCTGATGTCCAGGAAGTAAGAACTGATCAGCCAACAGTGGAGAGCATGACTATCTCTCTTCACAAGTGTCTATGGAATCCCATCGAGTTGTCAGGTGGGAATGACTAAAACTTTCTTGTATTGTGTCTAGACCAAGTTTGGGTAAAATTCTGCTGATTGAAGGAATAGAGGTTGCAAATAGGCAAAATTCTGGAAAAGAAGATGTGAAAATCCATACCTTCATTTTTCTTCACTATTTGAAATCCACCTTTGAAAGAAATGTGTTATTACTGTCGTACAGTACAATAAATGTCTTGTGGCACCATAAACTGTGATCTGGCTGAAAAGATAATTAAAACTCACGTGTGTATGTTCCATGGAATCATGTTAGAAAGTGTTTTCATTAAGATGTTTTTATCAAACTTTTCAGAGTAATCATGATCATTTGTTAGAAACATTGTATCCTAATAATGGTCCACCTGTCCTAAAACCTGGAATTTGTGGTTATAAATTACAGTATTTAACAAATGAACAATGTTAATACTAATAAAGTACTTTCAATGTAAGTATGCAGTGTAAAACTTTAAATGAAGCACTTGCAGAAGGGTTTCACGGCATTCTTCTGTCATTCTGTAAATGGTAATGGATTAATGTTCTGGGGTGTCCAACTGTTTACAAATAGAGATGCAAAGGCCAATGAGTGAAGCAGATGTTTGGATACCATCTTGAAATTTAGTTAAGGTTTCATGACAGAACCTGGGTCAAAAGAAATCCTTTGATTCCTGCTCCTGTTTTTATGAGTTCTGGCGTACTACTATATGCTATTTTTAAAATTAATTCATTGCAAGGGCTCTGTGGTGATCCCTAATTGACAAAAATGTATCTGGTTTATTGTGAAAGGCTTTTCCCTGTGTTTTTCAGGATGTACCACTACTTCAGATTCTCGAGATGAAAGCACTGAAACACATACGTTGAAATTCTGTGAACCTTCCCTGGCACAACCAAGTAATGCAAAGTCAGATACTACTTCACAAACTTTGAAATCCTGTGAAACTTCCCCAGAAAAACCAGGTAATGCAAAATCAGATAGTACTTTTCAGGTGTATAGAATGAGCAGTACAATAAAACCTTTTCCTTTTCTTATTAATGCTTCTGAGTTTGTAATGGTCATGTATATGTGTGTATATTCTGTAGTTATAAAAGAATACTACAAATTGAACATGTATATGAATTGTGCTTTTCAAGAAGTATTGGATGAATTCTTTATTTAGAGATTGCTTTATTAATGGATATTAATTTTCTTTAATGCTATAATAGAATTTGACTTTTCTGTAGATTCAATCAGTTTAATAAGGCAGAATTCAGTGGTTATCATATCCAGTGCAGGAGTGTTGGTCACCAAACATGACATTAATATCTACAGAACAGAAATTCAATAGAACTCAGCCTAAAGCTTCACTCAGTAGTTTAAGGTTTATATCAATCTGCTGAGTTCAGGCCAGTTAAAATAAGTGCTCTTTTTTTTACCATGTCTCCTTTGGTCCATCTGTCCTCTGTAGCTCACTTAGATTTTTATAGCTCTCCCCTTGTTGTATCTCTGATCTTTTTATGGCATAAAGTAGACCAATGCATCACAGTAAATGGTTGGATCAATGGCTATGAAAAGTATTTGACCTCAAAAGATTAGAAAATGAAACAGAGTGTTGCAGGGTTCCAAAATTTGTAAATCTGCGGGATTAGGGGTAGTGCTACAAGTGTTTCCTCTACTCTTAATGTGGAAGCCATAGAAGAGGACAGAGCATGAGGATGCTATAGGAAGGGGAAAAGGTAAAAGTTATAATTATAATCTGCATATTTAGGAAAAAAAAGGAGACAATGTAGAAATCTACTTTATTAAGTAATGGTAGTTTCCATCATGTTTCACATTTTTCCATTTTTTATAGCAATATTTTTCTAGAACCAGTATCAGAATCTGGTTTTACTAAGACATAAGACTGAAACTTGTCTAATATTTAAAGGCAGAGATATTACAGTCTCTCTTAACCCCCCCTCAAAAGTCTCTCTTTTGAATTATTAATTTCAAAATGCAAAATGTATTCTACAAGTCAGGCTGAAAAAATGATTTTATATTTTTAAAGTCAGTGATTTTTTTGCTGATACTGTGGAGATGTTGTCACTCTGCCATTATAAATATGAATCAAATCACTTGCCCAAAATGGGTGACTTTTCTTCTCTCACACCTCTATATCCAACTGATACAGCTCAGAGTTTGATTCAGCACTCTGTTGCAAAGACTTCTCTATTTTTCCCTGCTACAAACAGGTTTAGAAATTAACATGTGTTTGAGAATGTTGTACTCTTGTCTATGGGTGTTGCCAAATTACTTGACTGCTTTTTAGCGTTTGTTTGTTTTTTTGACATGCTTCAAGCCAACATTATTTTAAAATGTATTTTCCAGCAGACTCTTCTGACTTGGAATGTTCTGAAGACATGGATATAAATGCTCAGATTCAAGCAGCTATAAAGAAAATGAATAAACTTGACACCATACTCGAAAAACAGTGTTTTAAAGAAAAAGCAGTTAAAAAGCAAGGCAGAGAAATGAGGGCAATGCTCTGGGAAGAACTTCAGGTTAGAAGTGTTCTGCTTATTTTGTGACTGATATATCTTACAGTACTGTCTTACAGAATTATCATATTTCATAGAAGCCTTGTTATCAAATAACTCACGGTTGGCTAACTAAAATTAAGAAATGGATCTTAAAAAGTAAGATTGGGTAGTTTTTAATATGTATTGGCTAGGCAGGCTTTGAAAGAAGGAGATGTTCCTTAAAAATTGATAAGACAAATTGCCAAATACACAGCTGTCTGGGTGTGGTTTATTAGCATAGTATTTTGCTTGAGTTCTCTGCTTGCAGGGAGAGTAAGGTGTGTTAGGAGGTAACATCAGTGAACCCAAGCTGAAAAGCATTTATTCTGCTCAAGAGGGATCCTTCTTATACCCAGCTGTTTCAGTACTGTCTGTTGTTGAAGAAATTAAAGATGCTGCCTGAAGAAGACATAAGAATGCTACAACACAAATTCCTTTACCCTATCCCTGTCCTGGCCTCTAGCAGTTAAATGCCTTGAAACAAGTTCGTATTTCCTCTGCTTTACATGAATAGAAACATGAGTTGCTAAAAAATATGATTGGTTTGACTGCATTTCATAATTTCACTGGATTTGGATTTGGAGCCACACAGACATTACAGAACTTCTTTGTCTGCTGAAGTGGGTCTCCACATAAGACAGTGTGTAACAGAGGCCTTAAAGTTTCACCATACTTTTTTCATCACTTCAGGAGATATTCAGATAGCCTCAAGAAGAAAATAAATTGAGAAGAGTAATTTTTAATAGGGTCTGAAGTTTATTAGATCTGATAAGCAGACAATGTATTTCCCTTTAAAGAATTTACTTTAAATACATGAATGTATCTCTGCATACACAGTCTATTTCTTTTGAATAGTGTATCAGAACCACAGGAAGCAATGAGGAGGTGGAAAACACAAACCAGTTTTTGGCTGTGTTCTCACCATGGCATAATACAGCTGGTAAGTAAAGAGAAACAGAATTGTGATACATCCTATCTTTTTTCTTTTTGGGGAGATAATAGGGATTTGAGATCTGAATGGTTATTGCTGAGCAAAAATCTCAGCTTGAATATTGGAAGTACATGCATAATAATGGTAGCAGTATGTGGTTAAAATATTTAAACAAAAATTACTATTTACAATGTAACCTGCTTTTATTTCTATGCTAAAGTTTGGGTTACTAAGGGAAGGAAACAATTTGATAGGGATGATATTTAGGCAGCCTCCAGTAGATGTCAGGATATATTAAAATAACAGTAGACAAACAAGACTATATAACTGCTAACTCCTTTATCTCAAAAGTAACTCCTGTAGAGACAATCTGCATCATGTGTTTTCTGGTGTACTGAACTGACAAAACTGCATAGTTTAGATTTATTGCTTTCCTCCAGCTTGATCTTTATATTTTCTGTATCATGGTAGAGCCTTACTTGTCAGGTCTTATTTATTTTGGTATTTATTTAATTAAACAAATGTCTTGATGGCTGCCCTGGTTGATACTGAAATGGAATACATTTAATATATTTTGCTTTTCAGAACTTGAATTTGATAGAGCTTTATTAAGTAAATTAAATATAAGAGCTATTATAGTTTTTAATGTAGCTATGAAATCAAGCACAAGTTTGGGTACAAAATCATTAATAACTTAAGTGTTCCAAGCCTTTCAGGCACAACAAAACCTTCTGACACACTCTCAGCAGAAATGTAAATCAGGGGTTAATTAAACAGCCCTAAATTCCTTACCCTGTGCTCTGTTTAACAAAAACATTTGTTCAGTTGAGTCCATTACACTGCATTATTAGTGGTTATTGTATGTTTTTTTCATTGTGAAAATCACATGTAATTAGTTTGGTTCTTTGCAATATGAATCCCTTTCTGTAAGTGCTAAGTGTATAGACTGTGACTTACTGCTCTAACTGGTATTTCCAGTTGGCTCATATGAATACTTCAATTAATTAGGTTTTTTGAGTAACTGAAACAACTAGGATGCTTGAACACTGTTTTTCTAGACTATGCCCTTGACCTAAGCTGCTTGGGAGTCTAATAATTCATGCACAGGCAGACACCAGCTGTGAAAACCTGGATGCCTTACTCTCATTCAAAGTTTTAGATGACTTATCACATGGTGTCTGCAGAGGCATTTGAACTTTAGGGCCTTGGGCTATGTCTTTGAGAATGTGATGAATTGTCTTCCATGTGCAGTAGTTGTTAAGAACATGAACACAGCCATAAGAAACTGCATAAATATGACTCACACTTTACACTTTCCCCCTTTATTTCTTGAGAAATACAATGCTTATGTCATTTATCCAAGTGAATTTCTTTACTTTCCAATTGTATGATACACATGACGCTAGATCTTCTATAAATACATTTCAATTAAATTTTACTGGAAAAATTCCTTACAGATCTCTCCCATGCTAAAGAGGATGAAATATGCACTACAGTATTTCACACACACATGAATCCTGAAGATTATAATTGCCATAAAGCCCAAGAAAACCAGGGTAAGCTTTATTAATGGTAGAGTTTGTATTTTTAGCAATGGCAAAATGACATATGCAATGGGTGGGTAATGAAGACTCAGCCTTTTTGGCAAGGCCAGTGAAATGGGAAAAAGCAAGGTTACTTACTGGAAGAGTGACAGGTCTTACTTTTTTGCAAATGAAGGAAGAGAACAGCTATATGATTAATCTAAGATGTTTAAGTCAACATGCTAAGAAAATTTTTTAGTATTGGGTTTATAAAGCCATTTTTATTTCATTTCAAAAGGAAGAGGTGTGTAACTGATATATTGTAAAATGTATCATTGATTCTTCATGCGAATTCTTTAAAAACTTATCTTTGCTGTGACTCTAAGGTATCTTAGCTTTTATTAATAGACTTACATTCAAGAAACTATCTAGAAATGACAAGTGGTGCTGAATCTGACTGCAACTGTTCTGTATTCTTTTGGTTTTCAGCAGAAATTGTTTGGATTTGTGTCAAACATAAATCTTCAGGCAACTTATTTTATATTTTGCTCTCCTGATTATTGTAAAGTCTGCATTGCTTTTATGAAATAAGTACTTTCTGGCAAAACTCAAACACCTGCTGATTCTTTTAGGGACCACGTGTTATCATGCGTTGTACGGACGTTTCAAATGCTGTTAGTGGTGTAGTGTGTCCTATCATGTCAAAATACATGGAATTGTGCTTGTATGCCTCTATTATTTTCCTATTTGAAATCCAAGTTTGTGTGGTTAGTAACTTTTCACAAGTGTTGTGATATAAGAATAATAGTTTCAACTGCCATTGCTATCAGCTGCAACTGTTTATTCCTTTGTCAACTACCATTCTATGCAAACAGAAGGAATCTATCTTCCTGGTGACTGGCTAAGATGACAAAGATGTAATATAAGTGTATTCCTTAAGGCTGAAGCCTCGATGGCAGCAATATCTCTGAAGTTTGTAGAATGTGACTGCATGTTTTAATTTTTGAACATGGAACTCAGCTTCTTTGTCATTTTAGCACTTGTCTCAATTACCCAGTATGTGACCTTATCTTTGTGGGCTGGAGCTTTTGATTTCTCTGTCTTTCTACCATGTATTTTCATTCTTCCCTTAAAATAAAGCTTGACCCTCAGCTTCTTTCTCCAAAATTCCTGAGCTGTGCTAGAGTGCCCTTGGCATAACAATGGCAGGTTTCACTAGCTCTATTCAATACAGCACTGGCTTCTGGAGCTTCCAGTACAGGCATGGTTGGGAGTTGCTATCACTTGCACTGTTTTGAGATGTTCTGCACATTCCTGCTTTGGGAATGCATGAAGTAGAGATCAGTTACAGCTTGTGAGCAATATATATTGCTTTAAATGACTTTTACTATTTCTGCTGGAGGCTTTTCATGTGGTGTCTGAATAGCTAAGAATTACTGTTTTTGTTGCTTTTGGATTTCTGTGTCACAGCTGTCATAAAGGCAGACCAAGAGCAAGAGGAGCTTGTGAAGAAGAATGTATGCACTAGTTTTATGCTGTTACTTCATCAGTCTCATCAAGATTTTTACCAAATCTTTGTAATATGTGCCAAATCTACCAAAATGCATATGGAAAATTTGTTTAGTTGCAATCTCTCTTTTAATTACCCTTGGCAGTCTTCCGTGTATTCTTTGTCTCAGTGATCCATGTCTGTCCCTTCTTTCTTCAATGTTCTGAGATGTTCTGTATGATGGCTCCCTCTCAAAAATGCTATTCTACAGTCAAGTGGAAGATATAGTTTAAAAGTAAGGTACATCTTGCATGTTATGTTGGTGTTTGGTGTGTTCTGCTCATTTCAGGATGCAACTTGTCATCTTTATATCGATGCTTACATTCCTATATGATCCATTTCCTTGACACACGATGTTGTGTGGTAATGGTAAAGAAAGCTTAGGATGCTTTCAGAAAGCATCAAATGTTGTGCATTTGAACTGTGAGGGGGTTTCTTAGTCATATCCAACACGTCAGTCCTTTAAGGTTTGTGTATTGTGTAATTCCACATAAAGGATGCATGGAATTTATTTAATATCTTTGGGAGCTTGCTTTCATTCTATTCACTCTGAAAAAGAGTTATTTCCATAGCCTGTCTTCTATGATCTAACATGTCAAATTAATTTTTTTGTAGGGAAATAACCCACCCATTTTTCAAATTTCTGCTTTCCATAAAAGCAAAAAGTACCATGCCTGCTTTTGAAACAGTTCTTGAGATTTAGAAGTTGATTATGTTTGCTTAGACTTGTTATTTAATGTGACAAATATTTGCTGTTTGTAAAGGAATTGTTATTTTAAGCATGGTGAAAGTCTCTGAAAAACAGAATCATGCCTTTTTTTTTGGTCATGGATAGAAACCTATTGTTATTTGAAAATCATGTGTGTGTTTAATAGATTTACAGCTCTATGATGAGTTTTAGTTTTTAACAATATTTGTTTTATAAGCTGTGTTATAATAATATCAACTATATAATCTGTTTTTCAGCTGTTTTATTTAGAAAAATGTACTTGATATGTCTCCAGATAGTTCTGTGGTTTTCAAAAAAATTATTGTCTGGTTTTGTAATGATGAGAAAACTGCAATGATGAGAGGGTTTAAAGGAATGCTGTGGCTTTTAAGGCCACCATGTTTAACATTTTTGAGGTCAGAAATTCAAAACTATTTAGCCTTTGTAACATTGAGTGATTTCATATAATAAAAAGTTGAAAATTAAATTAGATTTTGGCAATAGTATGTTTTCAATACAATAATACATGATACTATTTACACAAATAATGAAAACATCATACAAAAAGTTTGTCTATTGACTCTATATATTTGCTAAGGGTTTGAATGGGATTGATGTTATTACAGTTCTTGTAGAATCAAAATAGGAATGATTTTAATGTAGCAACTTTTCTTCCTCTAACATCAGCTTATCCAAGTGAATTAGAAACAGAAAAACCAGCAGAAAAAATGCATAGCAAAAATAAAACCAGCCAGCATTTCATTAAAAAGAACATTGAGGTAAGCATTGAAGCATAAAACCAGTAACATTTTTTAAATGTTAGCTAGAAATTAGTCAATAAGTACTTTTGGAGACAGTTTTCTCTTAAAATCAGGAACTTGAGAAGCTAATTAGGCATAAATGAAGAAATTACCTTTCTATTAAAACTGCTATTTATGGCAGAGTACTCTGTTAGGTAGTTCTCAACTTGGATGCTTATATCGGTTAGGATAATACTGCTTCTATGCATTTGATAAATAATACTGGAAACTGAATTGTTGTGTTTGTGCCTGGACATAGTTTTTTTTAAGGGCAATATCCTAAGACTTTTTAAAAATTTATTTACTGTTAAATAAACTTAACTTTATTTGGTGTTAACCTGATGCATAAATAAGGGATAGATATACAGGTTGCTCATGTGTAGCCTGGATGGGACCATGTTTTGTCAGAAAATGCATCCCTTGATTTTCTGCTTCTTTTTTTCCAGTGAGGACCTAGTAGGTATCATGATTTTTCATCCAATGAAAAATATTTGCCTCCCCACCATGTCAAAGACTAAGATAAGATTATAAATTTATTATATGTAGGCTATATTTTTCTGTCAGAGTGATAATTTGTATTATTGAAATAAACAAAATTTAGCTGTTAATTTCATAGAGTTTAAAAGCTCTGTTTTAGAGGTGTTTGAGTTAGTGGAGTTCTTAAGCATGGGTTTTTTTCTTGTTGTAAATATTTCAGCTAGCAAGGGATTCAGGAAACCAATTTGTTATGCTTGAGGGAGAAAGGAAAAGGCTAACTGAACTCCTGAAAGATACAGAAGATGGAACTGAATTGCAAGATCTCAAGGTATGACAAATTTAGTGTGTACTGTTCTGTTGTATTTGGCTTATTTTTACAGTAAATCTAAATTTGATCTTAGTTCTACCATTAAATACCCTACTGAGATATGAGAGAAAATATGATACATCCTGTTGAATTTGTCTCCAAAAATGAATTCTCATTGGTTTTTTTGTTAATTTTACTAACATCAGAACCTAAAAGAAAAGTTAGGCACAGGAGGAGGGAACCTTAGAACAACACTTGGAGAAAATTACCTTTTTTTTTTTTTCTTGCATAAAATGTGAAGTTGTGGAGTATCAGTCTGAGTGGTTAGTGCTGTATGCAGTAGTCTCAGGGAGAAAGGCCAGCAACTACTTGGAAAAACCTCTCAACAACAATTATTTGACAACTGATAAGTGGACTTCAAAATGCAATAATTGGGGAAATACACATTTATGAAGCTTCTGTGTCCATTTGGAAAGATAATGTGACATCTTTTTGTGGCTTCCAATTCAGTCTGTCTTAAAAGTACATAAAGTCTGCTTAAACATTAGATATCTATGCTTTAACATAATATTTTTAAACAGTGCACAGTCTGCATATTTCAGTGAATAGCAGGAGCTGAAGTGAATAAAAATCATCCTCATGGAGAGTAACAAGGAGTATTTGATTGTCCCATCAATCACTGTTTCTAGGAGATGGTCTTCAGTTTGATAAATGTCATCATTTAAAGATCCGAAGATGTTTTAAACAATCTTCTGTTAGTAAACATAGCTTTCTGGCCTAGGAAATAGTGGCTTTTAAAAATCATTTATTTTACTGATTGCAAAAGTGTTCTCTCAAAACGTGTAGTTACCAGGTTTTCTTTCTCTTTAAGCTAGTGTCTGTCATAGAATTTAGAGGCATTTTTACAGAGTAGCTAATGCAAATTCCAACTAACAGTATGTACTTTTTTTTTGCTTCAATTCTCAAGGCATCAAGGCAATGGAAAAGTGTAACATTTGTCCCCATTTTGTATTTGGTATATGTCACTATCATGTTGTCTTGTATCTCCAGGGATTTCGCTGTTAATATTAGATATGAAGTAGATCATCTTACAGGACACGTGTGTTGCTGTATGTTCTTGATACCATGGACAAGAATGGCAATTTGTGGTTATCCTAGTGTCTTCTAGATAATTTCTTTAGAGAAAAAAGCTCTTAACTCTCCTGTCAAAGTAGAGTGAAAGAAAGGATAATAGTTACTTAGACCTGTCTAGTCTAGTGATGGATTCTTCCTCTCCCACATTTGAATTTTTTTATGGGTGAGGCATTTCTGTGGCTACTTCATAACAAAAATCATGAGGAAATTATCAGCTAATGAGTAATCTAGACAACTTCAGGCTGGCCCAGGTAGCTATCCAGCTAGTGGCTACTTTCATCTTATTTTGTTCTGACTTTTAAAAAGCTGCAAAAAGCTGTGCAATCACATTGGCTGGAGTAATGTTTTGGAGGCTGTCAATCAAGGCAGATGTGGTTATGTTGTATGAATTCCTCTGTATGGTGTAATGTGAATTAGATAACCTCATTTGACTTGTACTTCTATATATGCCAAATATCCAAAAAGCACTTCTCACTTTTTGAAAGAATGTTTTATGAGTGTTTAAAATATTTTAGAAGTACACATATTCATGCTAATTTAATTGTCAAAGCTGAAGCTGCAGGGTTATAATTGCTTCAGATGTTCCACAGAAAGCACTGACCATGCTGTTATAAAAGTATTGTTCTGAGTTAACACACAGGAAACATTGACAGGACAGAAGCTTATTTTCCAAGCAAAGCTATCATGAAAATACAGAAGAGAATGTGTGAGTCCATTTCATCCTAGAGTAAAATGAATGTTGGAGTAATTTGGGTATTTGGAGTACGGGATACAGACACTGAGCTGTAGCTAACGAGCTCAGTTACATCTTACTGGACTCCCGTAGAGTAATTTCTGTTTTTGCTCTGTGATTTTCATTCTCTGATTAGGAGGCAGTTAACATGGCACAAATGTAGTACCATGCTGGATGCTTATGTTTTTGTGGTCACTGTCTCACCTGAACAGATGTTTCCAAAAAGGTGGCAAGCATCTGAGACATTTTTGAGTGGCTATTTTGGAGTCAGATCAGGTCTGGTCAGGCTCATTAGTTGTCTCTCATCATACTTGTATGAGAAAGCATTAGAACTGATTTTGTTTAACAAAAAGGATGACTCTCTCTTGACTCTCTTTTCTTCTTTCTCTTTCTCTTTTTTTTCCCCCTTTATTATGAAGATAATTTAGGACAGGTGTTTGGGGTATGCTTCTTATTTCTTTTTGCAACTAACATGGTTTAGGGTAATGGGGATGAAGCACAAATGACCTCATAGCAGTGGTATTGTAATTGGAAGCTGATATTTCCTCCTCTTGTATGGATGCAACTGCTTGAATAGCCAGAGGACTAATTTGGAAGCTGGAAACAAATGGTGGACATCAATTTCTTGCAAGGTAGATGTTAGAGTCTTAGGGCAAGGTACTTGTCCTGTTCTGGTAGGAAAAAGAAAGGAAACCAGCAATACACTCATGTCTTTCCACACGTCCTTCCTCTTCTAAGGTCCTATCTACTGCTTCATTCTACCACATTCTAGCAGTCTGTGGTCAGGACACAGAGATGCAATCTGCTGCTCTGATACCCAGTGGGTGGGAGTTGTGCAGACTTGCTTGCCTGAGTGAGAGGCAGGGAGTGCCAAGCTGCTGTGGAGACCCTGCATCTGTCTGTGGGTATGAGCTCATTGGCTTGGCTGAAGTGACCTAGCTCACTCACAATATGCAGCTGTATGTAGTAGGAGTATATATTCATATGTGTTATTCAGGTGTTAACTGCTATCAAGAGGAAAAAGTCATGTAAATCATGATCAGGAAAAGAACTCTCTGCTTTGTGTCTCTAGCAGGGTTTCTGTGATAACACATAGGGGCTCTAGAAGGATGTCAGCTACTGACCTCAGAGCAGTTCCTTTGATTTCCTGTGAATGCCTTGTTTTCTTCTTTGGTGGTACCTTACAGGCATCACATTACATCTCAAACCCTCCATTTGACATTTGGCTCCAGGTGGTTTCTGCTGTAGTGTCAACCTCTGCAGCTTCATTCCAAACAAAGTTTTAGTTAGGCTTTCTCGCTTTTTGGCTCCTTTCTCAGATGGAAAGTGGTTGTCCAGTTAAGTTGCTCCTTGGTTGTATTTAAAAGTGATGAATGTATGAATGTCTCTACTTGTTCTGTCCATAGCTGCTCTTGAGTGTGTTAGGGACAACATGAATATTTGGGAGATTTTAGCTGTATACTGAGATGGATGAAAATGTACATTTTATTATTAAGTATGGTTTATCTGAATAATAAATACATTGGTATGCAACTGCCCTTAAAGTCTGTTTCCTTTGCAAATGAAGCTTAAGTATTTTCTGTACTTCCAACAGGAGAATGTACCTGTCTGGCAGGCACCAGGAGAAGGGTACACACCTGAACTGATGGAATTTCATCTCCTGAATGAGATAGACAATATGCTTCACCTGCTACTCTCTGATGGGGAGTTTCCTGCTCTTTCCAGCTCTAGCTCAAAATGTCCAAGCCGGATATATCAGGTAGGTTACAGATATGTTTTATTTTATTTGATATTTTATTTGACATGTGTGTTGAGATCAATACTGCATATAGCTGTATTTGTATCTTTTGCATTTTTCATTAGGATCCTCTATTTTATCATAAAGTCTATGTGTTAGGGAGTGAAGTGAGAAATTTTAGCTGTAGAAACAATGGAAAAATAATTTGTTGCTATTTTGAGTCATAGGTAATTTGAGAACTGACTTGTTTTTAAGAGTTTTTGATTCCACACTTCCAAGATACAGAAATTGGTAACTCATACATTTTTATCTGCATGAGGGTGCTTTTTTTCAGCATAGAAACAAATTATCCATGATAGTTTATCTTTGGGAATTAGAATTAGGTTTCTTCTTATCTCAGGATACCAAAAGTGCCTGTTCACTTATGATCTGAAGGATAAGGCAATAACTGATAAGCAATGTTAAAGACTGTAGGAGATGGATTGAAGTTGTATGTCCCTTGTTTTTAATGGCCTTTGTCTTTTTGCCTTGCCAGTAATATTGAGATTTGAAGATTAAGAATCAAGGTCTCAGCCTTGAGAAATGATTGTTTGACTTTTGTACTTGGAAGACTACAATTTATCCCATGCCCTGGTACTGTTGCCTCTACTATAATGGGGTTTAAAACCAAAAACCCAGATTCTTATTTTTCATTTATTTGCACAAAGCTTATATACTTCTGTAATATTTTCTTCTTTTGTCCAGAACTGATGTATCAGAGAATATGTGTAAAAATGTTCATTCACAAAACTGTTTTCAGTTCCCAGTGTATGAGAAACATCTCTTTAAGAGGCTAAAATACCTGTGGGTTTGTTTTTTTTCTCCTTTTGTAAGGGCACTTTAATGTCATTTTTATTGGCTTCTTTCTGAACATGAGGTTTTGTTTTACCTCTAGCAGTATTTTCTGTAGCTCAGTTCCAGAGGAGTCACATTTTCATGTTGATCATTTACCAGCTGGGATCTAATGTGTGAAAAAGCACCTCCCTCTTGTTGGTAATCACATAACAAATGCAGTACTTACCCTGAGCTTCCCAGTGGTTGCCTGATCTTGTGTTCAGTGTTGTAAGACATCAGCTTGAAGTTAATATGACTTGCCTGTGATAATGAATGCTGTGTCTGGAAATGTTTGTCCAAGTTATTGTTGTTGCTTCCTTTCAGGTAATAGCCCAGAAGTATTTGAACAGAAATCTGCATTTAGGTGTATGCTAATTAAAGAGTAACATATTATCTTTTTTGAGTAATATTAAACCTAACAACCAAAACCAGGTAGCTAATTCCTTGTTACCTTTCATTAGTGAAAAGCAGTTCCCTTCAATTTTGTTTTGCAGCATGTAAAAAGCTTTCAGACATTGTAGTTCTATGATTTTAATTTAGAATTAGCTTAGAGTTGGATATGATGAAGCTGCACATTCTTTTCTTCCAATAATTGTGTTAGATGTAGCTTCCAAAATGCAGACACTTAATCACTGTTGCCTCAGTGGGAGATGTCCTTTTTACCACTGATGGATACTTTGCCAGGATACAGGAACTCTGAAATCTGAATAAACTCACTCTGAAATCTTTAATAATGGGCTTCAATTATCCTGCAATACCATAGCTTAGCTGTAACAGAGGAGTAGACATGTTCATCTTTTTGTGCAAGGGGTCCAGCGGGATTAAGAATACTTTTCCATGACTAATGTTCTCTTTTACATGGAAATGTTTCTCATCAGAACTGTATTTCTCTCAGAAATGTTTCTTTGCTCTGGTGCCAAATCAACTAAATATTTAAAAATGTTTCTGTCTTACTTAATATTTTTGGGGAAGAATAAATTAAGTTGAATTTAATCCTGAAAGAAACAGGAAAATGATAGGCTGAAGAATATGGAGTGTAAGACTGTGTGTGATGAGTACAGTTACCAGCTTGAAAAACTGAAAAACCACCTGAAAACTAAAGCAAATGAACATGGTATTTAAAGAAACAATAATATCTGTAGGCTGGATTGTCTTAAAAGATAATTGTTGTGTATCACCATGAGGAGTTCTTTCATAACTGATTGGGTTTTTTTAGTCAGGAAAATATTCCCTTTTTCTATTATAGAAGTGGTCTACAGTTAGCAGTTTAAGATTAGATAAATACTCAAAATTCAGAAGATACACTAATTTTTCAATTAATGAAGTCCTTGATAGCCTATGCTCTATGCCTGTGCTTTGCCAAAACAGATGAATTTCACAGATGATATCTGTTTCAGAGCATGGTTAGAAGCAGGTTAATAAACTGATCAGCCAGTTTTATGCCTCAAGATGATTGTATGACCTTAATATGCTTCATTAGGTGGGATTTTGTTATTATTTATTTATAAAATTTGGAGGAGAGGGAGCACAACAAATAATTATAGATATTTCAAATACTGCAAATTTCTCTTTGGCATTGTGTTTGTTACATCTTTGGCTCTTGCTTAGTATTCGAATTTTTCCTTGGGTAAAATGTTTAACAGTTTTATTTTCTACGGATCTAAAAATATGAAAGACAAAGTAATCTTAAATGGACTTCTCTACTATGTACATGTGCTATACAATTGAAACAGAACATATTCTGAATTGTGCGAAATATTGGCAATAAAATGTTTTCCTTGATATAATACTTTATACATTTATTTCATGATATCTTGAGAAGAATGTTAAAAAATTAGTAAGTGGGGAAAGGCCTTGACTTTACTCATATTGTGTGAGTTTCTATCAGTTACTATTCAGGGATGAGAGAAGTGAGGCTGTAAGAACTACTTATGAGAAAGCAGCCGCTTAATGCTCCATAGTGGTCAAATATCAAATAGATTATTATGAATAATTTTGAAAGCAATACAGAATGAAGCAGAAAATAATGATTGTTACAGGAAAGTTTGCTGTCATTGTGGTACTGCCAACTATTACTGATTGTAAATATAATTAAAAATTTTACTGTATTAAAATAAGTTTATTTTCAAGCAACTAATATTTTGATTTAAATGTCAGAACTCATAGATTTGCTTGATGTTTAGAAAAAGTTGTTTACAGATACAGTTTTTTGTATATTGTTGCTGAGGAATTTGCTGTTGAATGTTGAATTGTGAAGGTTGTTTTCTTTACAATTAGTCATGCTACTTAGAATTATTTTCCTTGTGTGTCTATTAAAATTTCTCCAGCTGCTTCTGAAAGTAAGAATGAATAGAGTATTTTTTTATTCTATGGCTGCTCATGTCCCTTTGGGTTGAATTGATTATCAAGATAGGGGAAGGTTTTTTGCTTAGGCTTTTTACCTTTGCCACTATTGGATTTTTCTATAGAATCTATGATTTGCAAGAGAAAGCTCTGGGGTTTTTTCTGATTACAACATAACTTTGCACTTTTGCCAATACTTGTCATTCTCAATGAACTGAATTGTGTGTAGTACTGAAACTGACTGTATTTGGGACTGAGAGAAACTTCAGAATCTAGTCCAAACCTATTGAAGGATGTGAGAATGTGTAACCCAAATCTTTAATAAAGGTTGGGCAATTAACTCCAACTTACAGAGAGAGGGTTTTTCCTCGTTTACCATGATACCTAGTAAACAAAAGATGTTGTCATTTTTGGCTCAGTTTTTTCCTTTTCCTTCTGGCTTAATTCTGATCCCAGTATGGTTAAGAGGATCAAACTTTGAACCAGTCATTCAATCACCCCTATTCTCAGAGTACTTTTATTGTTGTAGTAGGAATTAAGAATCCAGGTGTTAGATCTGGAGACTAAGAAATTCCTCTTAAAATGCAAAGGGTAAGAATTCTTCTGTTGAAATATGTTTTGCCTGATATTTAGCTATTGTATTTGAAAATACACATAATGAAAACTATTCATTTGCAGAATTTGACATTGATGTGTTGTTCTAAGCATTTCACTATTTTCTTAGTAGAAATCAGAAGAACCCTCATCTGTCTATGAAGCAATATAAAGTTACATGGTTAACTTCTATCAATTATTTTCTTAGGAGCCTCTGGTTTATGCAAGCAGAAGCCTAGAAACAATTCCAGGTGAGAAGGTTCTGCGGGACAATAAGGAAAAACGTGATCAACAGAATCGTCTGAAAGAAATAGATTATCAGCTGGAATCCCTAGAGAGAAGTCTTGTAAGTTTCCTATTTTTTCATATTTTTCTTCCCTTATTCTGAGAACTTTGGAGTTTATCATTCCTTGTGTCTTTAAATAAAATCAAGTTTTTTAACCTTATGTAAATTTCTGAAGGAATCCCCAAAGAAATATGCAGGCAAAAGCCCCAAATAATTATTGTTAGTCTGAGAAATCTTTTTTTTTCAGTCGTAATGCATACTTACCTTTATTATAGGATACTTCAAAGTCAAAGACATTATCCTCCTCTCTTCTTCCTCAGAGGTGCATAGCATAAACAATAATATATAAACGCATCCTTAAAGGATTTTTTAATGGCTCATGTACTTCAGTGTTCTTTGAAGGATCAAGTCTGATGAGAATATTGTATACACTTAACTAATAATCTTTCTTTATTATCACTAAATTGAAAGAAAAATAGCATTTTTATGTCTGTGCATTGTAGAAATTTGTTTCCTGTGTGAAGCTGATTTTACAGTTTTTCACTTAGTAAGAAGAACATAAATATCTAAGTTTGTGACTGACCAAAGATCCATGTAGCCTACCTTTTTCTCTTGGAGGTCTTTATTCAGCAGTAGGCTTACTCTCCACAACAATTGAAGTTAGGAAGAGTATTGTTCCTGTTATCTTTTATTACCCTCAAAAAGGGATCTCCAGTGCAGATCAAAAGCTTTGTGATTCAGGTGGCAGCATAACCACAGTGGTATAATCTCAATTACTTACAGCACCTTTGCTGTAGTTGCAAAAGCTCCAGCCACTCAACATAAGCCAGGTTTATTCTGGCAGTGCTGGAGTATACCTGAATATGGGAACAAAGACTTTGGACAAGGAAGCAGTGATTGTTTTAGAGGCTGTTCACTTGGGTGTGTGTGAGTACAGTAAAGAAGCATATTTAATTCTTATTTATTCACAGTTCCAAAACAATACTAGAACTTCTTTTTTAGTGCACTATTATGTTGTATTAAACAGTTAAAAAAGAGAGACAAATAAATAGGGGAAATATGTGAGCTTTAGTATATTGAGTAGGTTAATGGGTAATCAGATAAAGTAAGTCTGCATATTGTAATATTTTCTGCTCATTGACCTTTATATCACATTTTGTCACTACTGACCTTACTCATGAGGCAAGTACAATCTGAGGAAGTGTGTCTGGGGATTGAATGATAGTCTACAGCAGGCCTGGGAAATGCAGTGGGCTGCTGACTCATTCAAATATTTTGTTTATAAATGGGTCAGTTCCAAAACTTGTTTGGGTTATAGCAGTTTTGTTTGCTATCAGATTACATGCAGACTCTTGCAATGTACCACCCATTTTTCCTTGACTGGATTGTGTGTACTTAAAACTCTAAATTGATAGACTGTAATGCCAGTTTACACTGTTTAAAAATACAGAATGTCACCTGCACCAATGTGTAGCATTGCTGCCTGCATTGCAGCACCTGGCAGGGCTTCTTTAGGGGACACACTGTCCTTCTGATCATTGCTGCTCTGTAGCATGACTGAGATCATGGCATGTGGATGTCAAATATTTGTGTAGTAGGTCCTCTGTGAGATACTTCAGTTGTCAGTGAAGTAAAGAAGTGTTCAGGTCTGAATGTAATTAGTTTTTTCCTTCTAACAGTAAAGTTAAATATATATAAAGGATGCACTTTCTTGAGTGAAAAAAGAGCAAGTGAAAAAAAGCACTTTAAAAAAGAGTGCTTTTTTTTTTTCCTTTTTAACAAAACACACATAATTGATTTTTTTCCCCCTTAGATCAGATAACTTATGTGCAGTTTTGTTTGGACCTTGTTTCTATACCAAAGTAATACTTTGGCAAATCTGGTGTCTCTGCCAAGACACTGCATGATGAAAAACTAAGCTGAAAGCTTGGGTTGAGGAAGGGAGTCCATAGACTGCATGTTTCCAGAATAATTTAATGATTTCTGGAAATACTGGTTTTTATTCAATAGGTGGCACTCTTCACTGTATGTCAGAGGAGGAATGCCTAGGCATGGTTCGAAGGGATATTTTGACTGGTAATAAAGTTGTCATTTCTGCTTTATAAAGTGCAGGTCGTGAGAGATTTACCTCTCACTTGTGGCAAGAGTCCACGTGTGCAGCTTTTAGCATTGTTTTTTTTCTTTTTTTAAATTGTGCATTTAAAATCCATGTTTTTAAAATTCGCATTGTATTTCAATTTCTCCTTTACTCTTTCCTAAACCCCTGTAATTTGCTATGTAAAATTATAAACAAATTCTCTGCTCTGAGTAGAGGAGGTGATTTGTCACCAGTTAGGAGTGTTATTTCTGAATGCATGGTTATACTTGATAGTTGTAAAATACAGTATTTTACAAACATAGTATCTGAGAGAACTTACATTAAAATGTATTTTGAAAAGTCCCTTGGACAAAATATTTTTGGTTTTCCCTTCCTAGGTGGAAATTATGAATAGTTTGTCTAAACAGAATTTAGCTCTGTGTGTTAGGACTTTGCTTGCAGTAGGTATAAAGGTAAATCTATTAGCTTTTCTCGGTATGTATGGTAGAATGCTGTATTTTTTCACTACTGTAAAATGGATTATTTAAATTTAAATGGATTATTTAAATTTATTTGTATAATGGTAATGACCTTCTCTTCAAGGGCAATTAATCATATTTCTGGAGGAGGCTGTTTTGTAGGTGCTGGCTTCTGAAATGATAACATTTATGGATTCCTCCACTACAGTTAACCTCATGTATGCTGTAAGACTTCATGGTCTCAGCTAAGTCTAGGAATAAACTCACAAAACAAAGCCAGAAAATAAAACTTTAATCTAATTTACATTTGATATAAACACAAAGAATCTACTAAATATTACACTTGAATTAGTGAAACTAAGGGCTTTGGAATCTGAGTTCCTCCTTTACTTTAAAAAAAAATTGTCCCTAGTGAATTAATATACCAAAGAACGCATTGTTGAAATGCATTGTGAAATTTCAATCCAACTGAAATGTATCTGTACCTTGGTATCTGGGCCCTTGCTGAATTTCTTTTAGGTTTCAGTTTGACCTTAGTTCACTTGTTCTTCATTCGAAACCATGTCTGACTCTCTCTGCATTCTTTCATCTTTCAGTTTCCTGGAAACCACTGAGCTTATCTTTGTTTTGTGGATTGCATTGTTAACTGCTGCTTCAAAAAAATACCCAGTTCAGCTGCCAAATGCGTGTTGCTGAGCATTAATGAAAAGAATTTTATATAGAAAGAATAATAAATGTAGTTATTTTTCATTTGTGGCTTTGTCTGCTTGGCCATTTGTGATAATCCAGTGGCATGTTTGATGATGTGTTGAATTTCTTCATGGCAGACAGTAGATTTAAATGCACATCAAAGCAAGCCAGTATGTAAGATAGCTTCACCTTCGCTGCCTATAATTGTGTGGATTTCTAATATATTACACTGGAAGCTGATTAATTCCTGCCATTAGTCTACCTACACATTTCTTTTTGGACTTTTGTTTAAATATATGAAATCAGAAATACTTTGAATGCATATTGAATATACATTCATGTAATAGCGTGTATGCACACATACAAGTATAGATGCTAATTACATACTGGGCACTGATACTGATACCAACTTGAAAAAAAGGTGTCCTCTTTCTTCTAGTAGGTGCTTTTAAAGCAGAAGCTAGGTATAGTTACCGGAGTCTTAAATTTAAATTTAACAGATGTCTGTACACCTCTAGGAATCATTTTTTTCCAAGTACATGCAATCTCATGGCCAAATGCATTGTGTGATTGCTAATAATTAAGGGTTTTTTTTAATGCAAAGTAGTATTAGGACAATACACGTTTGGTTATTGGAATAGCTAAAATTTGCAGAAAGGTTTGCAACTGGGGAAGATGATGAAGAACAAAAATAATAAATGTGATGATGCTTTCAGGAGCTTTGATTACCTGTAGGAGCTTACTCCAAAAAGCATGATTCTTATCATTTTGATGCAAAATAAAGTATATCTGTGGGAAAATCTCAGGATAAAATTAATTATTGCTTGGTCCTGGAGAAGGTCTTACATCACTTACATCATTTACTGTTCATCAGGGTGATGGTGGGGTTTGTTACACATAGTCTTGTTCTAGTTTTAGCCCCGGTACTGAATGAATTCAGTGTACCTGATCCTGAGTCTGTATTAGGCAGCTTCCAGAAAAGAAGAATAGTTTCTTCCTGACCATGGTCATAGTTCCTTTCTTTTCTTCTAAAGGGAAGAAGAGAGCAACATAAAGACCTACCACATATCTGGAAAGTAATTTGTCAACCAGACAATACTGTAATATGTTGTTGTATCACAGTCTCTCCAGAAATTAACAACTAACACTTTTGATCACAGAAACACTTCCATATTTTAACTATTCTGTGCATAGTCATTGTAGACTATAGCAGATAAATAGCAAATGTCTTTATATTAATTCATATGGTATCATGTGGTGTCTGGTTTCTAAATAAGCATGTTTTTGTCCATAAAAGTAGAAATTGCTTAATAGAACATTTTCATAAGACATTGCACCAAATAAAAGGAAAAAGGACACCCTATCTAAATAAAGTTGAGATATGCCACTCTCTATATTATTTCTTCAAAAAGTATCAACCAGGTACTAAAGTTGCTTGTCAAGCTGTTGTTGAGCTTCAAGCAAATCTTGTTTATTCAGATTTTACAAGACTTCATTCTAATTATGTGATTGTACAGAGTTGTTTCAGAGTGAAATGTGGTAGCATTTCCACCTGGGAAAATATCAGTGCGAAAATCTTAGTTGCTTCATTTAACAGCTACTACACACTAGAAGAGAGCAATAAAATTAAAATTAATAGTAGATTGACAAAATGTAAACATTTCACTCATGATTTAAATAAATTTACTGTGTATTGATTGTTTTCCACTGTACTGTGGATAAGAATGAAGTGGATAAGTGAAGCTGCTTAAAGGATTTGTAAAAAATATTTTAAAACTACACGTTGCATTAAGATTCAATAAAACGAAATAATT